TAGTGGGTGCCAATCTCTACAACATAATATTTAGATGCAAGATTTCAACAAAATAAAAACAATGATTAGTCATGATTTCACTGATAAACAATCTTATTTATACATAGGTCCCCAAAGACAACACTATTAACAAGAAATAGTGTTTGTCATTGATCAATAATTAGTTATGCCAGGTCCCAGGGTGAGGGGGGTACTCCAAGAAAAATTGGGCGGGGGTGTGTAGCACGCTTCCCAAAACCCTTACCCTATTTATGACAAAAGTCTGCGATTTTCCCTACTCTATTTATGATCTGACAAAAAAAAACTGGATCCCCAATTTATGACCATTGCCACTTGGACAGTTGAAGGGCTTTTGTTAATGGTCTTATCGATAGAGATGTAAAAGGAGCTTCTTCTAAAAGAAAATACCCAGTTCAAAATCGATACCCTATTTATGATCAAAACTGCTGAAAAACCATACCCTTTGGGGCCGCACATGCCTATGTAGCCCATATAAGGGAGTTATCCCCCAGTTTCAGGTATATGACAGGCTTTGTATCAACAGAATCACAGGGTAACGTCAGGGCTATGTTAATATCCGTTACCAGTCCACTCCAACCTCCTTTCCCCTCTTTTGGAATATCCTTCATTTTGCTTTTTATTTTAGCCCTTCACTTTTTCAAAGTAATAAGTTAAATTGCATCGTACAAACATCAATTTAATCAAATCAATAAAATTTAATCAAATCAATAAACGGTCAAAAACACTACTCACCAACTCGTGGCCTCCTCACGTTTGTCTTCTCCGTTGTTGTCCATTTTCTCTCCTCGTCAACTGCTTGTTTTCTCTCTTTGCCCACTGCTTCTTGTCTCTCCTAGTCCGCTTTTTGTTTTCATTCCTTGTCCGCTGTTTGCTTTCTCTTCTTGTCCGTTGTTTGTACTGGCTCCTTCTTCCTTCTCACAAGAGATGCAATATCCCACGGACTTTCCGGCTACCCAGCCAGGGGTTCCCTCGTCGTCTTTAAACACCGAGCAACGGTTACAAACAGAGTGACCACATTTTATGCATGAATATTTTGTCGTGGCAAAACACGAATAACACATGTCTTCGTCCAGCACGACCGTAAACTTTTTCCGCCAAGCCGCCATCTTTTTCACCTCTGTTGCCTCTGATGCGCATGCTTCATGCGACAGAAGGGGGTTGTGGGATCAAAAAATGTATTATAATAATTTATGCATTAGGTTCGGTACATGAAAAATTCGACGTTTGAATCGGAGTCGCTCCGTAGTCGAACTGACCGACTGGCCATGTCGAACTTAATTCTCGGGTCGACCCAAATAACATCTGTTGAACTTAATTGATTCAAACGTCGATCTCGTCATGTACTTAATTGGGGCTATTAGGTTCGGCTCATGAAAAGTTCGACGTTTGAACCGGGCCTCATTGCTCTCAAAGTGACCGAAGTGTATTCTTTTAGCCGCTAAATCCGATTTTGGTTGGAAGACCATTGGCAAGTATGTCCAGCACGAGCTTGCCAATACCGAGGAGGACACCAGTCGGATCCAGAGCACTGAGGCTAGGGCTGAAAAGGGTCTTAAATCTTTTGCCAGTAAAAAACGCCCTCAAGCAGAGTCCCGATGCTTCTGAACTGAACTCGAATTTCAAAAATTCGCTTTGGACGTAAAGATTGTTAAGTTCCTCGCTGGGGATTTTATTTAATGGATGAATTGTTTCAAGGTTTGTCGCTATCACCATCTCTATTACACGCATTCAAGTCTGTTTTATCTTCTCTGTTGTACTTTGAGCCTATAAACTTTTTATTTTCTGACTATTTTTAATATATGTCGACACTTCACTGTTGTTGAGGCAAATAAAATCTTACATTTTCTCTCCTATTCTTTACTTTCTTCCGAAAACGATGCATTTTCTTGCATGTGTGGCGTTCATAGACTCGACTGAGGGAAGCTGAAATATGATTATTATTGTTAACAGGTTCAAGAGGCTAGTTTTGACTTCATTGAGAACGATGATGATCCGTCTTCAAGTGATCCTATTGATAGTGTAAGGTAAAGTACACTTATGATTCTTAAATATGTGAAAGGTGTAGAAAGGAAGTGTCGTAGAGCTGTCGTGCAATTCTCTCGTATGTAAAGAGCTTCCTAGGTACCATTACAAATGTTAAAACCGCATTGGGCCTATTCTTTACTTGTTCATATGACACCGTTTCTATAAATGTGAACAGTACAAAGAGAAGACAAGAAATTTACTTTGTATACATGCCTCAACAATCTTCTTTTGGAAGTTATCGTTTTCTTTTAATGCCGTCGTAACAGTATTTTTTCAGCTGAAATGGATATGAATGAGCACTTAGTTGTATTACATTGAAGAATATTTAGATAAATACTATACTGATTTGTACAGTATTTTCTTTTTTGACAAGCCATGGTAACAACTGCGCAGGTGTGATTGCAGCAGTGGCAAATAACGAGTTTTGTGGAGTTGGAATAGCCTATTTAGCAAAGATTGGAGGTAAATATAATTGGACTGTTTCCCTTTAACGACATCGAGACCTGATTATTCCTTCTGTTAATCCCATACACCCCTTAAAATATTGCCAAAAAACGCATTCTTCGAGTCTCTGGCTGTCTTTTTTCTTTTCCTCTATATTTACTTGGCTTTATACCAGCCTTAGAGTTTTTAACCCCGAGGGCTTTTTTAAGGAAACAAGAGTAGGGTAGTGTAAGAAGGTTGTTGCTAGAATTTTCTGATCAAAGTTGCGTGATTTTGTGCCTTGTGCTCTGGCCTGTTTGTCTGAAACGCGGTTTGGAATACCTTTCCCCCTACATGAAGAATTTCTCCAAGGGTCTTTTGCAGTCTTTTAACGGTTTTAGTTCCTCTCCCAGTAGAGATATAGAAAAATTGTCTATCCTTGCACAAGCAGCCCAAGTGGGAGGAACGTTACCCATTTTTGATACTGTTTTGCACATTACGAACGATTTATGGACTTTGTACGAGAAACCCAATGTAGTTGTCAAAACGTAAAATTAAAGGCATAAATATAGAAATAAATTCCACTTACGTAAATTTAATAATGGATATAGCGCAAAAAGTGCAATGAAGCACAAGACGTGGACATACATATATGCCTGTGCAAGTGGTGCTGTCAACTAAGCTAATTGATTATCTAAGAGTGTGTGTTTCTGAAGTCAGTGGTATAGTAAGTTCACGCAAATAACGATGCTGTGATATGGTTGTGAAGTAAAGCCAGGCTCGCGTCAGGTCAGATTTCAACCGCAATCAATGCCGCTTGGAGAAAGGCAGGGTATGAAGGTCATAATAGTTCAACCCTTTTCCGAATATTAGCGGCGATTGCTGTACACACCAGGCACAAAGACATGAACAAACAACTCACTGATCTTGTGACACACAAAGAGTCGACAGCACAAAGATATTACAACTTTCCCTAGAAACAGCGATCAGGAGCTGCAGAGCGTCCCTCCATTATGAGATGAACAAATAAATTACCTGAATGGAAATATATGAAAGGACTCATATTTTGAACTACGGATAAAGATATGAAAGTGGAAATTATCCTTGAAGTTGAATCGAACCCTGAGCTGTGCGATTGACCAGACGCCATGCTCTCTCCATTAAGCTGGTCAAACTAACTGGACAGCAGGCCATTGTGAGTTCGTAATATACCAGATGGTGAAAATGACGTGAATGGAAATATATGAGATGACTCATTTTTTTACTGCTATAATAGAAGATGCTATTCCTGCTGGTGCAGACTATGGCGGTAGAAATTAAAGAGTTGAACTGAGCTTCAGATGGCAGCCATAAGAGAGCTGTTTCCGCGAACAAATCAACCAGAAGTCAGTAACAATGGCAGCAGTCATGGATAGATTACACACGATCCCATCCTCTGCAGTCAACACCCTAAAATAGTATGCGACAGTTTTTGCAGTGGATGTTGTCGCACACATAATGAAAAGCTTTTGGAGACTGCTAATGTAGCTGTTCCACCAAACAAATAAGAAACTAACTTTTTAAGACAAAATAGGTCACTTCTTAACCAGTTCTTTGAAATTTGTGCCTCCTTTGAATTTTAGTTGGCTAAGCCGGAACATTTTTCCCGAGAAGAGAGTCACCTTCGGCTATTTGAGGCTACAGTCAAGAGTGAAATTGTCCCAAGAAAGCCTTGAAGGACATTTTTTAAAGAAGACAAAGCTTGGTGGTCATTGTGTCAGCAAATTTCACGTGGAGCAGATCATAAACCCTCTAAAATATGAGGCGGATAAAGCAAAAGCACACTAAAACTAGGTGCACTTTTCTGTCTTTGTAGAGGTTTGTCGTGTTAAAGGATATGAGGCATCAGTTAGTTTTAATAGTCAGGGGGCTTATCACAGAATTTAAGCTCGATCGTGACAAGAGTGATACAAGCATGAAATTTGGCACATAGATTGCTTTTACCCTACCTATCAATATTAGAAGGGGTGCCCAAGTCAAACTAGGTAGGGTCCAGTTAAGGAGGTTTTTAATTTTGATAAAATTCAAGATTTGGGCTACCTGTGGTATGCTATTTAACAAAGCGTTTTCACTCAGTATTCATCACAAGTAGCTTCTTATATCAGTGTAAACTTTATTTATTTACATTATTTACACGACACTGCTTTATTTACTCAAAAACAAGAGCGAAAAAGCTAGATAGTATCACTAGTGCCTAGTCTCCGCTCAGTCATAATGTGTGCAAAAACAACTTGGGCAATGAAAGCTGGAAAAAGTGCCCCGAAATTGGCTGTACCTTTTGCCGAATGCTATGTACTAATACTTGAATGCCTTAACCACTTCATTAAAACCTTGTGAATGTTCCCTATTGGTTTAGGATTTGCTTTCAGGACATAAACATTTACACAACGGTGTCCACTTCAGTTGCTCTCTAGCATACTTGCATCTTGAGCAGCACTGTTAGCAAGCGCACTTGATCAGCTCCCTTCACAGTGCAGACACTTTTGGGATGGTCATCCAAACCGGTTGCCACTGCCCACTTTCTCCTTTGACCCGGAGTAATCCGATAGGGAAGGAACATTTGGTGTTGCTGCATCTGATGACGTCCAGATGCCTGCCTGGTATATTGCCCTTCGAGTATGTTGGAGAAGTGCATCCTTTTATTAACATAAAAACAACAACAACAACAAATAAATTAAACAATAACAACAATGACGATGACAAAACCCTCGATCAAAAATGGCCGTCAATCAGTGCAAATTTGAATTGTATTTAATTATTTTATAGCTATAATACTATAGTTTACCTGTGTTGGAGGAATATTGTCCAAGTATCTGTTCCGCTTTGAGAATAGATTCATCCTTGCCTCATTGACCGACTCCAGGGGACTTGACTTGTACATTATTATGGTCATTCTTTCAAGGATCTTGAAATTTTCTGAGGTGATGTTGAGCGGTTCAAAGGGGTGCCTGGAAATGTGCTCTAATGCAGGAGTCACTTGGCTGTTCACTTCCCACGCTTGCCACGCTGTCAACTTTCCGATACCAAAGAATCGTGACGTACAATTGCATCCAGTGAATGCGTGGAATACGGGTAACGCTCTCGACTTACACTCTCCAAGAGTAGAACAGATCCTGTTAATGTTAATAAACGAGAAATGGAGCCCCATGCCAAATGCCACCCACGCTCGCTACATGCTAGGAGGTCATGCAGCTTTCCAACAAGGATCACAATGACATCAGTGTCAACTGTCCTGACTAGGATGGACTCGGCACCCCCTTCCCTTGTGAATTCAAGACAGTTACTTACCGGATGTAATGTATAATGCTTTGTCGATGGGCCACTGGAAATTTGACGCCTTAGATGTCAGGTAGGAAAATAGCTCGGACTTGTTGTCAGGCTCGCGGAGAAACATCAAGCAATTCTTGGAATCTTGGTCTGACCGGCGACTTTCCTCCAGATTCCTCGCCCTCGATGTTCTCTCGCAGCGTTCTTTAAGCTGTCTTGGAGGTAGGTGCCCCAAACAACGTCAACCCGTTTACACGTTTGAAGCTGCTGCTGGATATGTGGAATAAACACCCTCGCTGCGTAATCTTCAAACGTCGAAACCTCGACAGTTGGGAGACTATGAACAACGATGGAACCATCCAAGATTTAACAGTCAAACTGTCTTGGCATATCGGGGTTGTCATCACGGCTGTTTGGCTTTAGACAGTTCCAAAGGTCCAGTTTGGAGTTTGGAAGCCTAATGTTGCCGAACTCAGAGAGTGCGGGTGGGAACAAGGTAGGTAGGTAGGTAGGTAGGTTTTTTATTTAAAACTCGGTAAAATCTTCAGTAATAATAGAGTAAAAATCTAATTACAATTAATTAGACTAAAAACTATCGACATACTGTTTTACAAGACTGCCGAGTGAGAGTCCGACGAGTCAAATAGATGATTGATTTGCTCTTTAAATTTCCTGACTGATTTAATTTCTCTCACATTTTCGGGTAAAGAGTTCCACAACAAAGCACCGTTGTAACTGAAACTTCGTTTCAAGTAGTTAGTACGCGGCCGCGACGCAACGTCAATTTATGAAAGGAATTGCGCAAATCATAGTCTGTGCTTCGTTCGTGAAATAGGTTCTGCAAGTACACTGGAGCTTGTTCATTTAGAGATTTAAACATCATTATTGCTTTATGCTTCTTTCTCCTTATAACTAATTTGTCCCATTTGAGTATATCAAGAAGCAGGCTCGAGCTAGTCCCATAGTTGGCCTTTGAAATTACTCTAGCTGCACGGTTCTGTAACTTTTGTAATTTGTCACTCAGTTGATCACTTAAGCCATCCCAAACGAGGCTACAGTAATCAAAGTGAGGTTGAATTAAGGAGTTATAGACTAGTACCGCAGTAGATTGGGAGATAAGGGGCCTGATACGTCTAAGGCCACCTATAGCCGAAGTTACCTTCTTACACAATTCGTTAACATGATTAGACCAGGAAAGCCGATTGTCGATAATGAGACCTAATGATTTTGCGTGATCAACATTACTGATAGCTTAGTCTTCTAGTTTGATGTTTATTTCGTTATGGCTTTCCGCAAGAAGCTTCTGGCGAGAGCCAATAACCATAAACTCGGTTTTCGCAACATTAAGACTAAGCTTATTAGCTTTTAGCCAACAGTGAAGGTTCAGTAGTTCTAAGTTAGTCTCTTGTTCAAGGTCAGCTAGAGAGGAACCAGAAGTGGTAATAGTTGTATCATCTGCGAACATTTTAGCGCATGCTGTATTAAGGCAGTTTGGAAGATCGTTTATATAGATTAAGAAGAACAAAGGACCGAGAATACTACCCTGTGGGACTCCGCATCTTACTTCGCTTGCACTGGACAATACGCCATTAACATAACATTTCTGGTTCCTGTTACGTAGGTAGGAGTCAATGAATCGTAGGGAACCCAGATCAAGTCCATAGTTTGCAAGTTTACGTAACAAAATTGCATGGTCATTGGTGTCAAAAGCCTTTTTAACGTCGATATATACCACTCCATTTAAAAGGGCGTTATCTATATTAATAGACCAGTTGTTTGTTGTTTCAAGTAGCGCTGTCATGGTGCTATGGAGCGATCGAAAGCCGGATTGATAAGAATTCAAGAGTTTGTTTTTACCTAGGTAATCGTAGAGTTGTTGATAGATAATTTTTTCGAATAGCTTTGAGACAATTGGCAATACAGAAATTGGTCTATAGTTATTCAGGTCAGATTTTGATCTTTTTTAAAAGATAGGAGTCACCTTAGCGATTTTCCATTCATCTGGAAAGGTTTCTGTTTCTATACAGCTATTAAAAATTTTCGTTAATGATGGTCCAATAATGCAACTGGCTAATTTCAGAAGTTTGCAAGGAACTCCGTCCAATCCCATGGCTTTCTTTTCGTCAAGCTGACTTAGTCGCTCACACACAGTTGTGACACTAAGAGCCCTTAAGGAGAAGGCTGTTTTACTGGGCTGTAAATAACTTTCAGGGTCGATATTAGATGGTGATAATTTACTGGCTAGATTTGGTCCAATAGATGTGAAAAAGTTATTAAAAACTTCTGCAATTTCATAGGCAGAATTTATAGTTTCGTTATCTGTTTTAATTTCAGTGATATTGCGGTTTGTGCAAGATTTACGCGAGCTCAGTTCGTTAATTAGCTTCCAAGTTTCGAAGAATTCTTTTTGTTCAACTCTAAGTTGTGCAAAAAATACTGACGTTTGGCTGATTTGATAGCATTGTTAGTTTCATTCCGCGCTTGCTTGTATTGTTCCCAACTAGCCGCATTGTTTTCAATAATAGCTTTCTTTTTTAAATAATTTCGTTTATAGATTTTACGCATCAGGTCATATGTAATCCACGGAGAATGCTTTTTTGAGATCCGCTTTGTTTTCAGTTAGGCATGTTTATCAACAATTTCCATGAACAGGGTTTTCCACGCATCCCACATAGCAGTTGGATTTGGCTCTAAGCTAATTAAATCCCATGGCTGTTGAACAAGGTCATTTAAAAATTTGTCGCTGTCATTTTTTTTGTAATCACGAGTTTCGATAGAACGGTGCGTGCCAACACGTTCATAACGTATTTTTATAGTCATAAAAACCAGTGAGTGATCGCTAATCCCAAGATGAACGACACCAGAGTTAACAATTTTTTCGGGAGAATTAGTTATACAAAGGTCAATTAATGTGCGTGATGTTGATGTAATCCTGGTTGGTTCAGAGATCATTTGGCTCAATCCGTAAATATCAAATATATTCGTTAAATTGGACGAAATGTGGTAGTTTGACCGATTGTGCAACATATCACAGTTCAGATCTCCCAGCAGGTAGAAATCGTTGTTTTCCGAGTCAATTTTATCCACCAGGATTTCAAATCGACTAAAAATGTCCTGGGAGGAACTTGGAGGTCGGTACCACGTACTTACTAAAAAGGGTCTAGAATGCGGTCTAGTAATTTCGATAACAAGGCATTCGAGTTGGTTATCACTTAAGTCATGCCGTATATGATAATTTATGTTGTTTCGTAAATATATACAAACACCGCCACCGCATCTCCCATTCACCGGACGATCCCTCCCAACGACTTCGAATCCTGGTAGAGATATTTCGGAGTCACCAATCGAACTGTCTAGCTTTGTCTCATTGATTGCTGGTATATCAATTTTGGAATCAGTCACAAATATCCTAAAGTCGTCAATATGAGCGAGTAAACTGTTTATGTTAAGCGATGCCATGACAAAACCACGACCGAATGAATTTAAAAATTTTGATGGCTTACCCTTGCAGGACTCCCTGGAAAGCATAACCTGGTCGGACTCCCGCGCGACAGTATTCTAATCTGCTCTTAATTTTAAAAATTTAATAAAGTTAGAAGCCAGTTCGAGCAGACCGCTTCTATTTAAGTCGTGGTCGGCGGAGATGTTGGAATGGTCAACATAGCCCCAGTCATTTTGCTTACAGAATTTCCTTAGTATCTTGTTTACACCAGAGACTTTGACACCAAGGGCCTCCTCGTATGCTCTAGACACAAGGCTAGAAATCGACAATTTAGCCGAAGATTCGTCGCTTATCATGTGGGCTAAATTAACGATCTCCTCATCACATTCGCGCGCGGATGTGGATGAGCGAAGACTATTGGTACCGACGTGAAGTACAATTTCGTCCGGGTTTTTCCGTAAAACAGGTCTAATTTGATCTCTCATGTCCTGTGTCGAACATCCTGGAAAAGAGGAAATCTTGACTCTAGCACTACTTGACATTTTCCTCCCTTGCAAGTTCTTTAGGATGGAATCACCAACCAAGAACACCTCTCTTTGCTTGCGTTGAGTACTTTGGCCAGCACCTGAGTTCCCTTTTGTTCGCTCTGTATATACTTGGCATGATGACGACGTCTTCGATTGCGAATGTCTCCCGTCTAGGTTTGTCTCTGTCGAAGGCTGGTTTGTTGGTCACCGGTCTTCTTCTTTTTTCCCACCAAAACAAAATCTTGAGTATCCTGGTACTCCGTGTCAACGCGGGAGTTGTCAGGTTGCATGGCAAATGAATTGTGATACAAATCTTTGGAGACTATTTGAAGCGCTAGTTTCAATGAATCTCTTTCTTCTCGAATAGCTTTTAATTCTTTCTGTAGCTCGGTGTAGTGAACTCTAGTGGCTTGTAATTCTTGTTGGAAGGTGTGGTTCTCGTTCTTGACAGCATCAAGTTCTTGCAAAGTCTTCGAGTTATTTGCATTTTGCGTCGATTGCACACAGCTCCAAAGTTTGGTTACCTCAGTCCTTAGGTCGTTAATTAGACTCAGAATATTTACGTCAAGAGAGTGAGGGGAGATAGGTTTAATAAAGTGGTCAGTTTCGTTGCTGGATGTCTCTGAGAGTTCGGGAGTGTCCACTTGTGATTTGTTGTCGTCCACAACAACATGGCGGTCGCTGACAACATCCCCGCTTTCATCGTTCAGGTCACAATTGGTTTGACCACCGTCCATAGCTGCTCGAAGTTTATCCTTTGCTGATTGAACGTTGTTTCCTTGAATTTGTAACGTCCCAGTCTTGTAATAATTCACTGTCAAGGATTTTGCTTTTATCGATTTTCTTTGCTCGTTTTGAGTTATCGAGCACGTGGTGGAATCCATTTCTAAAAGTTCGAAGCAAAAGATTTTC